AGATAGAAGCCCTGAAACACCTTAAGAATAACAAGGACATAGTTATCACAAAGTCAGACAAAGGAAATGCAACAGTAGTATTAGACAAATCGGACTATTTGGACAAGGTAAATACTCCCATAGAAACAGGACCATATGAGGAAATTAATAAACCAATAGATACAGTTATGAATAAAGTTAAGAAATCCACAGCGGACCTTATACGCCGAATAAAGCCGTTTCTAGGTGAGTGGTTTCATTTAATGCCCAAAACTAATAACCCCAGTAGGATGTATGGTGTCGTTAAAGTTCAAAAGTCAGGATACCCTATTAGGCCTATAGTTGATTTCAGAAATTCACCTACTTATGAATTATCTTAATATTTAGCCATGGTATTAAATCCCCTAAAAATCCACTCGAAATCTAGACTAAGTAATTCTTATGAACTAAAACAAACGAACTCATTTCTGACCAAGAACTCGAACTTAGGACAAAAGTGCCACTTGAGCACATAATGCTGGGAGTACAGCTATGCCTGACTTCCACAGTATTTAAGTTCCAAGGGAAAATATACAAACAAACTGAGGGAGTTGCCATGCGATCACCAATATCCCCAGTTGTAGCAGATATATTCATGGATAAGTGGGAAAGCATAGCGATTGAGACGTTCACCCCCACCCCAAAAGTATGGTGGAGGTATGTAGATGACACATTCACTGTACTTAGAACACAAGATACAGATAGGTTTTTCGAACACAACAACTCGAAGGTTGAAGCAATTCAATTCACTTATGAATTGGAAAATCTGTCTGACCATCTTAGTCGATGTAATTTCACAGTTTCGTCGACTGATTTCCCCTCCTTAACTAGCACTCGACGCCTAACCTCAATATTGCTCACCCAATAATACCACTTCACGCGGGAGATAGAACTCAGACACCTATGATCAAAGACAGCTAATCTTTTCATGTCTTCTGCTCTCAATGGCCAGGTCTCACAGCCATAAAGGAGGACGGAGCGAACTACTGAGCAGTACACACGCCCTTTGGTCGATAGTCGGATATCACGTCTACGCCAGAGACGGCGTAAACTGGCATATGCGAACCTAGCCCTCTGTATTCATGCTGAGATTTCGTCAGAGATCAACCCGTTGGGGCTGATGGTACTTCCCAAATAAGTGAAGCGGTCAACGTGCTCTACCACTTCACTTCCTATTTCTAATCTAGGGGTCGGTGAAGTCCAATCTTGCAGCATCATCTTACATTTTACAGGGGCGAATCGCATGCCAAACATACGAAGATTGTTGCTCAAGGTGTTCAGTAGACTCTACATTTTGTCAGCGTCCTCGCCTAGAAGGACTATATCGTCCGCATATTCTAAGTCAACGAGATTATTCCCTGGTAGCAAGTCAATCCCTGAGTCGCTGAAGTGTGTTAGGGTTAAGTCCATTAGTACGTCTATGATGAAGTTGAATAGGAATGGGGATAATGGGCATCCTTGACGGACGCCACTAGTCGTCACCACTTCAGATGACAACTCGCCATAAGCCCTCACCTGGCTGCATGAGTACGAGTAGAGTGCCTTAATCAGTGCAATGTATTTTCTCGGCATTCCCTTTACAGCCAAGCATCGCCAGAGAACCTCTCGGTCGACAGAATCGAATGCCGCCTTTAGGTCAAGAAATATAGTGATTGTCGGACGCCGGTAGGAATGCCTATGTTCTAGAATCTGTCGAAGGGTGAAGATATGATCAATACACCCTCTTCCTGGCCTAAAACCTGCCTGGTTTTCTCGTGTTTGTGCCTCCCGAGCACCACTTAGTCTACGCAGTATTATTGAGCCTAGGATTTTAGATACTATATTAGTCAAGCTAATCCCTCTGTGATTATCACAAGAAGACTTGTCTCCCTTCTTGTATATCGGGATGATCAGTGACTTACACCAACCCGATGGGACTTCCTCTGATTCCCAGACGCTGCCTAGAACCTCAGTTAACGCAGACAGTAAACTGTCTCCACCGTACTTAAATACCTCTGGAGTCAATCCATCAGGTCCCGCTGCTTTGCCTTGCTTCAGATTAGTGACAGCTTTAGTAACCTCAGTTAAGGAAGGAGGACCTGTGTCTATATCCCATTTAGGGAGGTGTTGGATGTTCGGCAGGTTAAGTGTGGCTGTGGGCCAATTAAACTGCTCCTCATAGTGTTCTTTCCAGCGCTCCAGACGTCTATCCTGGGAGCTAATTATGGTGCCATTTTTCTCCGAGATTGTTTCGCTTATCATTTGCCTTTTGGAAAATCAGGAAGGGGAGCTCCCAATGTTAGATTGCAACGTAAAAAGAAAAGATGGGAAGTTAAACACTAGTGTTTACAGGAAACTCACACACTCAAACAGATATTTGGACTTCCGATCATCCCATCCTATGTCAGTAAAAATAGGACTGGTGAAATGTTTAAATGACAGAGCACAAAAACTAAGTAGTACCAAAGAAAATCTAAAACAGGAACTGATACACATAAAAGAAGCCTTGAAACTTAATAATTACCCGGATAAATTAGTCAGGAAATATGTAAGGAAATGTAAAAATAAAATAAATAATGATAGTAGCGATAGTGATAATAATAATAATATTAATGACGACACCAACAATAAGGAATCTAAATCATCAGTAGTAATTCCATACAAGGAAGGAACCTCGGAAGCCTTACGCAGAATTCTTAACAAGGCAGGAATAAAAATGGCATTCAAACCCACAAACTCAATTAGAAACAAGCTTTGTCGGTTAAAGGATCCTGTAGAGCCTTTAAAACAAAACAATTTAGTTTATCTAATACCCTGCCGGAATGATTGTCAGGTCAAATACATAGGTCAAACTAGTAGAACAGGGGCTGAACATAAAAACTTAGCAAAATCTAGGTTGGTTGATCCAAATAAGATAAGAAATCTAGAGAATAGTTCAGCTATAGCACTACATGCAGTTACACACAACCATACAATAGGATGGGATAGGATGACAGTTTTAAAATCTAATGTCACAGGGTATGGGGATAGATTGATAACAGAGGTTTTGTTTATCGAATCAGCTGCAAATACATGTAATAGGAATGATTCATCACCTGTCCCAGATATCTGGAAAATTCTACTACACCTACGACAAATAGAAGAAAACAAAGAAAACTATAGAACTCAAGTTTCAAAGTCGTGTGATTACAATTGATATGATTATGAACAATAAATTTTGTTCGAAACGTCATCCAGTAAATAAGACTGTTTCACTGCATGATATATCTAATTAACAAACTACTATGGAATTGTAGGGATTTGATTCTTTGTTTGGAGGATTTCACCATGAGCTGACATCGGTTAGAGAAGCATTGGAAAACTTGGAGTACTGGACAACTGCTTTGTCTTAGCTTGGGACTCTTCATCAGTAGGCACCCAACCGGGGTTCGAACCTAGGACCTTCTGGTCACAAGGCGAATATCAATGAGATGGTCACTAGCCACTGGCCCTATTGAGGTGGGTAGTTACCAGGGGTTCTAGTGGGAAGTCGTGACCAGTAAGGTACAACAGGTCAGGTGTGAGGACAAACACTCGCTGAAGACATTGGCTAGTGGTCACGCTATGTCGTGAATTGGCAGAAGCTGGAATTCATGGAATGGTCACTAGATCTGGACCCAATGGCTTAATGGTATACGAGCTTGCCTTGTAACCAGGAGGTCCCGGGCTTGAACCCCACGGGTGCGTGCTGTTGAAGAGTCCAAAACCAAACTCACGAAGCAGCTGTCCAGTATTTCCAGCTGCTTTTCCAATGGTTCTCTAACCGATGTCAGCTCATGATGAGATCCTGTAGCCAATTCTGAATGCATTATGGTGCTAGTTTAGACTGTAATAGTGATTTGATGTCGAGTAATATGGGGGGCGGGCAAAAATTGAAATACACTCTTCTCTCTAAGTAACAATGTTTCAGTTCTCACTAAAATTCTCACTTAAAAAATATCACCTTTAAGAAACAGACATATATTACACACAAACTATAATAAGAACATTTTTCTTTGTGTACCGACGGTGGTTTAATGATCGAATGCGCGTCAATCACGCAATTGGTCTTAGTTTGATTCCCGGCTGACGCACTCCTTAACCTTGCTTGGCCAGCAGTAAGCTCGATAAAATGGAAAGGTTACGTGTGAGGCTAGTTCAACCCATAAGCAAACAATACCACCACTACTGAAACTTTGAAGCTCAAACTTGTACTCGGAAGACAAAGAAATGGAAAAAACACATTAAGAATGTTAGTTACCCGTTGAATATGTTCCCAATACCGGCTTCATTTATCGAAATGATACATTTCTGTTAAAGCTTTACATTGTTGCATGAATACCTTAAATATAAAATTTAATGCAACTCAGGGTATACTATAAATTTGTCTATGCAAATTTAAACTGGAAATCAGATTCACTTAATGAAAACCCGGTTATTTCAAAAATAGAAAAAAATGACTACTTTATGGCTGGAATTCCCAGACAATTTACTCTACATCAGCTCTACAGTCTCCCCAGTTCTCATAAAAATTGAATAAATTAAGGTCTAAGAAATCAGATGACTGATTCCATGTCTTTAATTTGAAGTCAGAAAACGCTGATGACTAAATTCTGATCCATCGGTCAACACTACCAGTCTAATTATACAACTTTTAGATTTAGAAATCGACACCATAAGGAAACAAATGTTTGTTAAGAAAGTAAGAGTGAGATTAATTCTAGTCTGATTATTTACATTCGTCGTTTTCAGAAGCCTATAGCTGTAATAAATCACTCGCCTAGTGTTACCTGGCTTTCAATAGTTCAACAATCAATCACATTTCCCATAAAAGTTACCCAGTTGAACTGGATAATAATAATGCAACAAACAACTAAGAAATGATTTACCTCTCCATTGAAAACAAATTGCAGCAATACAAACATAAGCGATTATCACTAGTCTGAAACAAAACTATCCTATAGTGAATATTGGATGCAACTTACATGAAACATCAGTACCTCTTCGCCATTTTTAAACTTAACTAAACGCTCCTTCATATCCAACGATTTATGCTCATTAACAAACTGTCGTAAAGGAAGTTCAGCTAGATCACATCCTATAATTTTGCATGATTTGTTTTGATACAGCCATTCCATATCTTCAGTTTTTCCGCAAAGTGGAATGAACAACCGATTGTTGGGATTGTCGTCCGGACATAACTGATCCCAGAATGTTGTTAAGCTTCTAAATAGACAATGTTCAAAGTAGTCACAAGGTAAAACATGGATTACCAAATAGATATTTATTTTAAGCCAAAATAAATTAATGCAAGAATATAATTAGTTGAACAGAATGACACACCAGTTACTTAGTAGTAGGCTTCTTCCCGACCGAAAGCTGCTACCTTGACGTGGTGGTCGGGCTTGAACACTGCAATGACCCAACAAGCTATACTGGCTGGAACTTATGTTCCTGCAGGTCCTACCATGCCAGAAAGGTTGCTTGGATAGCAGTTAGACTAAAAGCAGTTACCCAATCCAATCCTATGATTTCAAATACATCACAAAATATCATACCGGATCGGTCGAGGCCCGGATTAACAACGACCGCGCTTTCTGCTGCCGTGTCACAGGGCAGAAGTGATAAATACGCTACTGAGACACACCAAATAAAAAAGAACAAACAAAAACAGGCCGTGTGTGACCGGCCTCAAGCAGTTGTCCCCTGGGCTCTGCGGTCACGCAACCAACTTCCACGGTGTGGGCAGCCGGGAAGTAACAACCGCCCTCACAATCCGAAGTGCACGCGAAACCCCTCTAATCCTCGCTCATCTTTGTCTTCATCTTCATCTCTATTATCTTGCCTTCCTTCTACCAATGCAACTCCTCTACTTGATGGCTCTTCACTTCCTCTTCAATCTGTGTGCACTGACAACGATGGAAGCCAAAAAGCCACCATCGATGGTCTCTCTCTGGTCTAGTAGTAGGCTTCAACTATTGCAGCTAATTATATTCCGCTAAGTGATCAATGTGGCGTTAACGATAAACACATCTACATACCACTTATGCAAACTGCAACCAGAAGGAATTTGACTTTGAAGTCTGTCTGAATTCATCAATATGACGCCTATAAAATCATGAAAAAATTACACTCACTAAGAGACGGATTTTAGTTGGGTAGGTGAACAAATAAGGTTATTCCTAGACAAAAAATATCATAGTGAAATTAATCACCACGATCGGTAGCGTACTTGTTTCTGAATTTCAATGTAAACAAGGAATACAATAACACCCCTATGCTTGAACTGATGGTGTCTGTGAATAGTGTGCCTATGGTGAAGTGAACTGACAGTAATAATTGCGCTGCCACTTGGAAACAGAAACACATACTGTTACCAACTTATAGTGGAAGAATGAGAAAAGTCAGTGGACAGTAACCATAGTGGTTACTTTATTCGAAGATTTTATTTGCGGAGAAAGAAATAACTGAAAGAACAGATGTGAGAATCCATCCACTAAGTTATGTCTGATACGTCGAACTCAGAGAATTTCACTAGCTTCTACATCCAACTCTTGTAAGATGAGGCACAAAAGTAGTTGAAACTTGAGTTACTTTATTTGTCCTAGGCATAAAGATCGACGGCAGAAGTAAAGAACATAGAGAAGACAAAAGCAACACTCGATAATCGATATACTAGTTCATACACGATATATTCTACTTAGTGATAGTCAAATAACTTCCGAACAACTGCTGTGATTAGCGCTGACCGAGTCCACGTGGTTAACAAGAAATTGACATTAGAAAAACGCTCCAATACAAAATACGCTACTTACATCAGTTGATTAGGCATAGAGTCATCAACTCCGAATAAGCAGCTGATATTCCTTGTTGTACTTGTAATATCCCGCTATTGAATGATTCAGAACGCATATTTCATCCTATTTGGGACTTGGTCAGCCTGCATCCTAGTAAATAGCAGTAATCTCACTTAGACTATAACTGACTTAGTTAGTTACACATCTGTTACCCGGAAGACAATTTTCATTTACCAGGCAATGAGTCAAATTTACTGTGTGAAGGATAATAATGCTAGATCTTTGAAACTGAAGCAGATCGCTATGATTCTAGTCCCAAACCCGTCGGTCGAAAATCCCATGCTTAAGGTAAGCAGCCAAAATTTAGAACCCATCGTTCCAAACTCCAAGGCATCATTCAGAAGTCTTATGAGACATTAGAGACATTTTTTAATCAACAGGTATGATTTAGATTTCACTACATCCATTTCTAATAACAACAGAAGTGATTATAGATAGTCCAACCTATTTGCAGGATTTTAAGTGCTTGAAGTGTTTAAAGGTTTACCGATAATTCTCAGCTGCCATGACTAAAGTAACTGAGGCAGGATCTGAAGTATACACCCAATGGTTGAAAGCTGTATATCAAAGTCAATACATCCCGAAACCACAGTAGTGTGTCGCAATATAAGACGATGCATTTGTGTCACACTCTTGTTTAAAGTAGCCTTAACACTTTTTGTGCGTACAGGTTTTTAGCGTTATTTATCGTTCTGTGGGGTTTGCAAATTGTCAATGAACTTATGATCAACGAATTGCAGTTGGAAAGTGGCTTTCAATAATAATCACATGAATTGTTTTCCCAAGCGATTTCTGTTAATTTCACTAGAAACAGAATAAAATGCCAGTCTGGAATCAGTTAGCATGCAGACAGTGAAGACAAAATGCAAGCTGAATTCTAAAGTATCAAACCTACTGCATGCCCGCATTCGAAAACACCATATAAATTGAACAACCTTGAAGATCGATTACCTACATAACTTTATAGTTGAAATCACTCATTTGCCTGATACACAGCTAGTAGTTAATGCTTCAGGAAAACAAAGTTTGATGTTCAGAGAATACTTACACGTGCAGACTTAAGTGGCATAAACTGCAACACAATAAATCAAGCATGAGACAGGTTTAAACTTATTCCATCCACCTAGGTTTAGAAAATTGACTAGTATATCGATGAATGCATCTAACAATCAACTTCATCAAAACAAATGGGGCAATTTTGAACTGACACAATTCCGGGAAAAGTTCAACGTTCTCAAATAATTCATTCCGTTTTATAGCAGATGTTGATAGCAGATAGCAACTACTCAAAGTTTATTGTTCAAGCAGGGTTGAAAAAACCTACATATCACTAACTCAGCGAACTGACGCTTATTATTTGGGGGTAATCGCTTAATATTCGACAACACTTCAGGACGAAAACAGAAAGGGTTATTACGATCTACTGGTGCCACCCAACGGTAATATTAGGAGTCACTCCATTGGATTCAGTACTCTTGATGAATAAAATACACCATTCATGCTTCAGAATTTCAGTAGCTAACCCACACAGAGTTTAGTTAATATTTAACATTGACGCAGATGCATCGGTTCATACCCTAAAAACCTACAACTGCGTCGGTGGCACAGTGGTTAGGACTCTCGCCGACCATGCACATGGTCCGGGGTTCGATCCCCTGCCGGCGCACACCCGATATCTATGGTCGGCCTGAATTTGGGCTACCGATATCCATGCTGAAAATTGCATACTTGTACTGAAAATACGGTGTGGAATCAAGCTGTAAATCAAAATAAAAAATAAATAAATAAACAATATAATGGACACAAAATTATCATTAGAAAAGTACACACAATAGCTTATAAAAGCAAACATACCGGTGTACAAAATTTAAATGCCATCCAGTTTCATTCTTTTCCCATCTTTCAACCCACTTGTTCGGCGTAAAACTATGGGGTTCATAGGCCATACTTCAATGACGAACAAAAGTAAAGTTAGGAAATATGACTGAGTTATAAGAAAAAATTAGGAAATAAACACAATACGAAATTTTAGTGCTTGGAATTGCTAGCTTGTGTGTTTAACCTTATTTGCTGGATGAACTTTGACTGAAAACTAGAGAAGCAAAATCAAGGGCAACGGTCGGTCGGTCGGTTTTCGACATAGAACTTTGCACAAATGTGCGGCAGTTCAAGTCGCCACACTCCATGTAGCACATAAAGCAAGAGAAGAAAGTAGGAATGCATAGTATAGACAGTAAACAGAGGTGTGAGACAAAGGAATAGTAATAACGAAGAACAATATAGTTTCATTGGAAATCATAAGTCACAAGGAGTGGATGCATCTGCGCCACTGAGAACGATTTTGAGCCATGTCACCAATTGTTTCCAACCATTGGTTTTTACCGTCCCGAGGACCCCAACCAGGAAGTCTACACCTTCCTACGTGGCTTAGACTAACTGTTGTGGATTTCATTGACTGGTGCCATGTTTAGGTTTGACCGCCGCTAGCTCTTCTCCAGCCTGACCCTATGTCAGCTAACATTGCCCGTCGAGGAAGGCGATAACTAGGCATACGTAGCACATGTCCTAACCATCTCAGTCGATGTAATTTCACAACCTCGTCTATTGATTTCCCCTCCCTCCTTACCTAGCACTCGACGCCTAAACTCAATATTGCTCACCTTATTATACCACTACACGCGGGATATAGAACGCAGACACCTATGATCGAAGACAGCTAATCTTTTCGTGTCTTCTGCTCTCAATGGCCAGGTCTCACAGCCATGAAGGAGGACGGAGCGGACTGTTGAGCAGTACATACGCCCTTTGGTCGATAGTCGGATATCACGTCTACGCCAGAGACGGCGAAAACTGGCAAATACGAAACTAGCCCTCTGTATCCGTCCTGAGATTTCGTCAGAGATCAACCCGTTGGGGCTGATGGTACTTCCCAAGTAAGTGAAGCGGTCAACGTGCTCTACCACTTCACTTCCTATTTCTAATCTAGGGGTCGGTGAAGTCCAATCCTGCAGCATCATCTTACATTTTACAGGGGCGAATCGCATGCCAAACATACGAAGATTGTTGCTCAAGGTGTTCAGTAGACTCTGCATTTTGTCAGCGTCCTCACCTAGAAGGACTATATCGTCCGCATATTCTAAGTCGACGAGATTATTTCCTGGTAGCAAGTCAATTCCTGAGTCGCTGAAGTGTGTTAGGGTTAAGTCCATTAGTACGTCTATGATGAAGTTGAATAGGAATGGGGATAATGGGCATCCTTGACGGACGCCACTAGTCGTCACCACTTCAGATGACAACTCGCCGTAAGGTCTCACCTGGCTGCATGAGTACGAGTAGAGTGCCTTAATCAGTGCAATGTATTTTCTCGGCATTCCCTTTACAGCCAAGCATCGCCAGAGAACCTCTCGGTCGACAGAATCAAGGGCAACGGTCCTCTTAAGAAATATTTAGATTTCGCAGAAGGCAAATATCTGTTTGTGTGTCGGTTGTTCAGCGGTAGAACGCTCCCCAACCACTCAGGTGGTACGGGGTTCGACTCTCGGTTAACGCACTCCTGAATCTCTCTACGCCAGTAGTAAGGCCGGTTAAGAGGTAAGCTTGGAAGTGAGGCTAGCAACCCCACCAAGTAAAAATGAAACAACCCACTGCTACCGAAAGTTCAAAGCTCTAGCTTGAGGCCCTATGCTCCACTCGAAACATCGAGGAATAAAATTTTACAAAATAAAGAAATATCTGTTACAGGACATTCACTCAAAACACTCAATTCAACTTCTCATGCTGAGAACAATGCCAGGAAAACTGCGTGTCAATGCTACAGAGTAGTTTAATTAATTAATTAATGCCTGTTTGTAATTGAGAGAATAATGACTGTGTCGAATTTTTACTAATGACTACTTTTCATGGTCATAAAGGATGATTAATTAATTAACATCGAATAATTCCTTCCCCCAATTTATCCACTGGAAATCAAAACTACCCAATCAATCTTTAAAAACGAATTGCACAATAATCATGACCATGAAAAATAGTCATTAGTAAAAATTCGACAATGTCATTATTCTCTCAGTTACAAACAGGCATTACACCACAGATTACTGAAAAAACTGAACACTTGGGATATAACTTTCCACTAATTATGTAGTGGTCTTAACAACCGGAATGGCGAATTATGAACTACAATTTACTCGTTTTAAATATTCAATTAAACGATTATCAACTAGACACACAACCAAAGTCTAACCAACCAACCATTGCGAACATCTCCTGGCTCAAGCACAAGACTGAACGCTGTCACTTACATTCTCCCAGCTGTTAATTCCCTTCACTTCCTCGAAGGAAACAAAAGGCTTTTTTATATACGGTAGCATAGTCTTATTTACATATTTTCGTGGACGACTTTATTATCTATAAATAAACTAGAGTGAAAAATGCAGTTGTCGCTATTAGAACTGTTAGCCAGGATTGATTTCTCGCGTGACTTTATGGCATGAAACTTAAAAAATGCGCAGCATTGCGACTTCTTTACGGATAAGAAATATACACTACCTGAGGTGTTGTAAAAAATACAGATTTCCAGCTCAGGTGAGTGATTTTGAATTATTATTTATTTTATTATTTTGATTACAGCTTGATTTCACACAGTATTTTTAGTACAAGTATGGAATTCTCAGCATGGATATCGGTAGCCCAAATTTTGCAGGCCGACCATAGATATCAGGTGTGCGTCGGCAGGGCATCGAACCCCCGACAATGTGCATGGTCGGCGAGAGTCATAACGGCCGTGCTACCAACACACATTATGGGTAATCGTGGACCCAGATGAAATGGAAACAGAAAGTAGGAGAAAGTGGCTGTGTCATTGAAGCCGGCTTCAATAGGGCCCTATGTCCTCCTCGGAACCTTACGCACAGACAGTCATTTAGCCTAACTATGAGGACTCCTATGAATAAATGGAGGCTTTTCTTGGAACGTATGCATGAGGTTATTTTATGTAATCACTTTTTAACGTTGAAGAGTTACCGCGTTTTAAATTTACCTCGCTTCACTTGAATAATAGTTATTTGCAGAATGCGCACTCTGCTTCGGACACATCTGATTGGTCGATAGGTATTTGTCAAGGTCTTTAAAAGGAAGTTTCGTTTTGCGCTGCTGTAGTTTACGGCAATAGATTGTGGCACACATCTGCTGATTGCTGCAGAAATCAGCTGTTATCGTGATATTATGTTTGAGGCAAAGTAGAACGTTAAGAGTCGCCAACTGCCAGTCAGCGAATGACCTCGAACGCGCCAATCACGTGGAAGAAGTATGCGCTGAAGATGTCACCTAGTAGGGTGATGAAAGCTTCGCAAATTAACTATCCAGCTCAGAGAACACAACCACATCAAAAAAGGTCGACGTAAATGCATATATTTACATAAGAACGACGGTAAACCGCATTGAAAATAGTTCAGTATGAAACAGTAAGTATTCACGATAAAAAAAAGGGTTTATAACAATTCAGTGAAAATAATCACAGTTGTAGATTTTCATAGCTGCAACATAGTCAACACAAAGTCCACTAATCACTCTATCCACAAGATGTGCATTAGTTTCCCCCAGTGGATAGTGGCACTTGACGAGTCTTTGTAGTTTTCATCACCACTAGATCCTTCATCAGAAACCGGATCGGATCTCTCCATGCAAATATCGAGATTGTATTCCTTCGACCAACTTCGGAGCCATTGAGAAATATCTAAGAATGTACACATATCAAGTGAATTGATCTTACCTCAGGTGAACAATTCATTATCTCAGCCACAATGGATATGTAAACGAGTGGAGGAACAACTGTAGAATTGGTGAGGTTCCATAGATTAGTCCAAATATTCCATGACAGATTCGAAGTATCACAGAACTTCCAATTAATCTACTACAGTTTCTCTTCGATAAAAAGCAAAAATTACGTAATTGCCTCTTCTATCCATCCGTTACAACCAACTGAAAAAGGCCAAAACGTAAGCGGTGAATGTTGATTGCAAAGTAACATTTTGTTTGTGTGAATTCCAGCCACCCAGTCTTCGCGCACTTTCTACACTGTACACCGTGCAGGTAGGTGGTTGCCGTGGCTCCTCTTAAAGTCCCCCTCAATCTAACTATAAATACCCTTTAATAGGTAGGAAAAGATTACGTGAATGTAACCAACGTTTGAACTGCAATCGCCGTACATATCACAGGAGGTTTGAATGTATCTATAACCGGTTACTGGCCAAGACGTTAACGGAGGCTGGCACACCTGCTATCCCTCCTACGGACGTTGAGCCTTCTTCCGTGAACAATGACACTACCATGGAAATCGAGGTAGTGCAATCGCCAACCGTTACAATCAACTGAAAAAGACTAAATCTTCACATTATATACTTCTTTGATTAAGTTACCTAGTGATAATCTTTTTGTAAGTGGGTCCAATGCATTACACATCTGTGAGATTTATACATATATTGACTTGTCCCCTCTAGCTAGAAAATCTAATGTCTATCTGACTTTTATTATTACTTTTTCAAAGCCCACCTCGCTAATGTGCAGTATGTGTTAGCCGCAATGTTTACGCAAAGGAAAATCTACGAATCACAATATGCATGAGTGACCTTCAAGTACCCAACATCTCTAAAAGCCGTGTGTGCCGGTATCCATTGCCAGAAGGTTGAGGAGGTGGCGTTGAGGCGAAGTGTTGATTTATTTCCGATGTCTGGGTGGAAACTGGTCTGAAGATACAGCACCGGAGTCTGAGGGTGAAATTGCCAAGTTGACAGAATCACTCGTAATGTTGCTGGATAACGTTTCAAGTGAGGGGGACACTCGAAGGAGACAGCTACGTGAAGCAATAGACGTACTAAAAGTAGGGGAATGATCTTCATTAGACAGACACTGAGAAAGTATTTGTGGAGTTAACTGGTGCTCGTCTGGGGATCCCGTCCATGTGTCTGATGAGAACATGTGACTTTCCTTGGGGGAAGGAAAGGGAGGTTTTGAGAGAT